CGCTGTTGCTTTATAAGATAATGATCTTTGAGAATGCGTCTCGAAATTTGTATGTGCCCCATAGTTCTGGAGATAAAGCCTGTTGAACTTTATGGACTAAATTTTACGAATGTCTTCCTGTTCCCAAGGCCGTAACTCAACGTCAACGGCTCACATAAACGTCCATGAGACATCATATTTTAGCCCATTTTGTGGCGAATAGATTGTGTAATTTGTACATCGTTAGCGTAGAGAAAAGTGTTGAAAGATGACATCTTCAATAGTTATGATAGTAAAAAATTAGTTTCTGTAAAAACTCAATAAAACGTCTTTTCGAATTTGGCCACAGATAAACAGCTAATTAATGACAAAATGTCGACCATTTCAATCATACTTTGTAAATATCTGATATGCGTTGAATGTTAGATCGTGAAAAATTGGGAATAACTCAGCAGTTGCATTGAAAGCGGGTGCTAACTTGAGCTAGATGGCGTACTGCGCAATTAATTTATTCAAGTCCCTTTGTTATGTTGAACAGCGTCAACAGTACAATCGGTTTTTTAAACATAGGGCGGGCCTTCATGACAGCATATATTTACTTACGGGATATACATGCATTCATATACAGATAAGTTTGCATTACTCTCAGCCTATGGAGAGTGTACCGTTATCGGATTTGTTATAATCAGTTAGCTCTAAGTCAGCACTACCGGATTCGGCCGATACCCTGCCCGGGCGATCTTATGGAGGATTCAATTTTTTTTAAGAAAAATGTGGACCAAAAGATCGCCCGGGCGATGTTATGGCAGATATTACGAAGCCCATCTTGTCTGAAAAAATAACCCTGCGCTGATAAAAATGGTCTCAGAAAATGTTTAGAAAAAATAATGTTTGGCGTTGACCAAATATAATCATTCAAAGTATAAATTCAAAGTGTTTTAATACATTAGTAAGAGGTCGCATTTTACGTGAACAAGAACATTCACTAAGAAGGAAAAGCAAGCCAAAGTCAAAACAGGGTGCATCATGGACACGACATGACACAACACACGATGCGACAACTGAGTGATCGATGGTGCAATTGAACTTCAAGTACTTCTTTGCGAAACTTGCTGCGCGGCGATGCTGACATCAAGTGTGTGTTGACTGAAGTCTGACCCCAAATCACGCACTGAACTGGCGCGTTACCTTAGCAACTTTTTCTTTTGTGCTCCGCGCGTCAATCTAGTAAACTTTTGTCCGACGGTGCTGTAATTACGCAACTTGTATGCAACTCTGTACTTTGAAAATATCAACATAGTTTACTTGGTGCACTGCTTTTCTAATTACGCAAATTTGTTTACAATATTGTACCAGCTCTGAATATTTCAACTTTGTAATGTATAGCTTTCATGATAACTACGCAAAATTTATTTTATCTTTTACTATTGTTAGGGCACTGACTCGGGGTATTGGGTCTGTGAATATTTCAATATTACTGACTTGATAATGCATTGCATTCGTAATAATTACGCAAACAAAAACATGGGCGCATTTAAATCATTAAAAATGATAGTAGTCAGGTGTCTTCGGAAAGTCAAGAAAATATTTTCAAATACTTGTGATTCATCGATGTTCAAATGGTGAATTATGTTATTCGAAATGAAGTGAATATGTAATATAAACCATACCGTGCGTCC